GATGAATCCGCGACGGATGTCGAAACGTCAGGCGAATAAACGTATTGTTCCATCGATCGAGTCTTCTTCTTCTCAATTTCTTCCTGGGACACGCGTGTTCGCTTGTATTGGCAACTATCAATACATTAAAAAATTTGGATATTTTTGCACAGTATTTTCTTTCGCTCAGCCAACAACTGCCTACCCGCATACTTTTATATTATGCCTTTGTGAAGTGGATAGTGGGACATACTAATCAGAAGAAAAGAGTTTTTCTGAGCGTTGGACGTCTAAAAACTGTCGTCTCTGAAACTGTCTCCTGAAGTGCCACCTGCTCTAACTTAACTTAAACGCTTGCTGCACCATTTCCACTCATTCCGGTGTACCCCTATGGATCCCGCACCCAACCGCAACCTCGTTCCTCACCCAATGAACTACAGTGGTCTACGCTGTCCCTAAACGAACTCTCTGAGTGCGACTCGCAAAGTTAGGTCGACGATCTTGGCAGCTGCTGCTGTTTGCGCAAACTTGTTGGTGGACTCTGCAATCAGCAAGGGAGTGCCTGACCACATCTTTCACACTTCGGTGATGATCCCCGTGATCTACGCCACACACTCTCCGTTTTGACCTAGAGTACTGCACCCATATGAGCGTCCGCTTTTTTCTCCTAAATCCTCCCAAGGAGTTATTTTTTCCCCGTCTGCTCTTTTGTTCGCTTGTTCCACTACATTGGCTTCTGTCATTTTGCATCGCCAATAAGCTGAGGTACTATTTTTTGATATGACAACACGTATTTACACAAACAGCGAGTTGAAAGGTCACAGTTACATTTCTCTCAAATAAACTAAACTGAATTGAACATGTTTCAAATAAATATCCTGTAGTGACAGCTTCACACGAACGCACACTTGTGAGCGCTCCCTGCTTTGAGATTCTGGGACAGCCAATCACAGGTGACTTATTATCCCCAAGTAATCGCGCTTGAAGATCATAGCTGCTAGGGTTAATCTCATTAATCTTAACACCTCGATAATCCCACTAAGGGACACATCTCGCGTGTAAACCACCCAATGTCATCGGCTACGTTTGTCCTCGGTTCTACCATACTTGCCTCCGATAGACCAATACAGTTTGCATTGTTTGCCGGAGAGCGGAAGCTTTCGATGTTAACCGGACTCTGTTGACCTCAAAATGATCCATTAAATAATCGTATCTATCGGTGTCATAAGAGCCCCATTCAGTAGACGCGTCCGTTCATATATCTGGTTGAAGCCCCGACTTTCCTCTTAGCGGAATAGGACACAACACTGAATCCAGTACGGCCATGCCCAAATATTCAGAATGAAGGCATAGGTATGAGAAAAAATTATTTATTAACGGAAATGGAAAAAAGAACGCCATGCCAAAGTATTCAGAAGGAAGGCACATGTGTGAGAAACAAAACATTTATTAACCAAAATAGTAAAAAAGAACGCTAGACCAAACAAACAAACAAACAATGCAAAAATATAAAAACGAGGGAAAAACATCCAATAGAATAGATACATGAGTCGGAGGATCATATCATGTAGGTGGCGGGGCGTTCACGGCCGAGATGGAGAGTAGAGCGATCGCACGAAATCCTGACGTAGATATCTAAAATACAGAGGGTTCGGTTAACCGCGGTTGTTGCCCGAGGGATTAATCAGCAATTAACTTCAATTTGTATTATGCTACTATACTACTTTTATCCTATGCTATGAACTACAATGCAAGACAACTGTGCTGCGAAAGAAACAGCGTTGCAGCCCTAAGCCCACCAAGTGAATCTCCATTACAAGCACCATTCCCTCTAGTATGGAAGTACTGACGGGCAAAATAATAAAAGGAGAATGGTATATATGTATAGTTTGACCGAATCGAGTGATTAATTAACTAACCGGCAGGCGTATAGACAGGCCTCGGAGAAGGTGTGTCCCAGGCCCTCTGCGAACGCTAGTTGGCTGCCAGTCCGGTGCAGACCACGTGACAGCCAGGACCAGTGCTCAATTAGGAGTTCCAGCACCTAGGTGAGTTAAATAGAACAAAGATAGAGCAAGGATAAGGTTATAGTCTAAGAAATGGGGATTGCATATAAAGACGCGATGAAGAGCAGTTGTGTAAAGCATACCCGGCTGTTGGTTTCAGCGTTTTCCGTGGAGCTGAAGAGCGAGGGCGTGAGGCATAAGGCCAGTGCACGCGGGGACATTCGGTTGCTGGCCTGATGGGCTACAACTTCCCGAAGGTGGCGCAGCACGAAGTCCAGTGTAGCCAAGCGCCACCCTCTCTCCCGGGCATCAGCCTCCTTGCAACCGGACGGGTAAAAGGAAGATGCAAGGCCTGCTTGCAA